TGTGAAGTCTGAGGGACGAGGAGGGGGTACTCCCGGCTGTCAGTTCAAGGGTCGTGGAGGGGAGACGGGGTCCGACATTTATCTCCAACACTGACGACACAACTACCTTTTAAATCAAAGACCAGCCATGTGAGGAACTGACACCCTGCGACGGGCATGCTCACCTAGAATGACCTGTCATGCCATGAAGTTTAAGTTTGTTCTCTTAAGAGTGAAAAGTACTGGCCAAAAAAGAAAATAATGCAACATTTGTTGTGCTACAGATCAGCTGGTTCCTCCTTGGTCGTTCTCCCTTCGGTTACTGGTATATCGTGAAGAACTGCTCGGTACTTGAGTCTTTACTTGAATAATCATTATCCTACAGCTTACTGACGACATCTGACAGCAGACTCCGTCTGGGGCCAAATCGATGCCGGACGCAACATTACCGCCAGCATCGTCATTTTTATTTACAGAAGGACTTACAAACATCGTGACACGAGGCAGTTCCTTCCATGTCGGTCGTGTTCTCGACTGATGTGCAAACACACAGCAAGCATGGTATCTAGCGGGGAATTGTTCTAAACTCTTGACTATACGTTCGAATGCTGGTTAATAGCCAAGTGAAAGTGTAATACTGATGAGCAAGGAATACAGTCACAAGTCCTTCCATATTCATGGTTTTCCATCGAAATATAAATTGCAGGTGGTCAGATTAACATGTAACCGGAACACACTATTCCTCGTAAAGAAGATGAACGAACGATCTCTGGAATGATGGGTACATGGAGTCAGACTTTTTTAGAAGGCCGCTCTGGGGTGTTTCGCAGAAGAGAGTGGTTGCTCGAAACTTAGCGCTCGAAAGAAAGGTAAGTTTGGTCTGGACAAAATTCACATAAACTTATCGAAGAATTTCGATGAAAAGATTTGTGAATGCACCTCTACCATTACATTTTCCCAATCAGAAATAACAGGACAACGGGCCAGTGGCCCATTGGTTAGGGGCGTTGGACTTCAAACTAATAAGTTTCGAGTTCAAGCCCCGGGTGTTCCACACCTCGGGGTTCGGTATGCCTGAGTGACCACGGCTAATAAGCAAGAAATGGCCATTCCAGTCTCCCTTGTATTTGTCAATAATGACATTCTGTATATAGATATTTCTATATATAAAAAAGAGGAGGACCTTCGGAAAATCCAGATGTACTCGTGAATTTTCAAGTCGGTGACACCGACCCGTCGTCAGACGAAGTGAACAGAGGGGAAAGTGAAATCGGCAGATTAGGTCGGCTGGCGCGACAGGACAGACAACGACAAACAGAGTACAAGTTGATTTTTCAAAAATCCTTCTCTTTTTCATTATATCACCTAGGAATACACACCATATCAGTTATTCACTTATGTATATGTTGGAAGGTAGGCATCTAAAGAAGCACATATTCGACTTCGACATATATATATATATATATATATATATATATATAGCAGCGAAGAGGGACGACAGAGAATGCGGGTAGATTGATACAGCACTGTTTCGGGCTTATTCTGCCTTCATTCAGCCAATCATAACCCTGACCACCAGCAGCTGAGACCAGAAACACAAACATGCGCACAGACGCACCTGGCGCAGTCGGTCCACCACTGAGGCCTACCAGATGGGTCATAAGCACTTCATCGAACCGAAGTTCATCAGTGCCTCGCCACCTGTCATTCTCTGTCGCTTAAATCAAGTCCTATTATTAATAATTTCTGAAATTATTAGTTTGATATTCTTCTGAAGTTCATGGACCAGAATGCTGTGGATGACCCACTGAGGAGCCGAACTCCTCGTAGAATCGTCACCGGCATTTTTCTAGTACCTTTGTTGGGAGAAAGGCATAAAACGCTGTCTTATATATATAGCGACAGAGAATGACAGGTGTCGAGGCACTGATGAACTTCGGTTCGATGAAGTGCTTATGACCCATCTGGTAGGCCTCAGTGGTGGACCGACTGCGCCAGGTGCGTCTGTGCGCATGTTTGTGTTTCTGGTCTCAGCTGCTGGTGGTCAGGGTTATGATTGGCTGAATGAAGGCAGAATAAGCCCGAAACAGTGCTGTATCAATCTACCCGCATTCTCTGTCGTCCCTCCTCGCTGCTATTATGACTTGGCCGACTTCGGCCTGGTAATTGGTTGCCTGTTCGTGACCTTTGCCACACATACGGAGCTTGTTTGCTTTGTGAAGCCAATAGATCGGTGTGCGCCCATTCCTGATATATATATATATATATATATATGACGGTGGGCGCTCGCCGATCAGGTTACAGAACATGCTCGTTCCGTTGTGCCTTGGGGCTCATAGTAGAACCCTCGCAGGCAATCGCACAGCGACTAGTAGTAGACATAGATGAGATGATACCGACAAAGACAAGGGAGACCGGAATGGCCATTTCTGGCTTATTAGTCGTCATCAGCCAGTCATACCAAACCCCAAGTGTGGATCACTTGAGATTCGAGCCCGCGATCTTTGGTCATGGAGTTTGACGCACTACCATTGAGCCACGGGCCCGTTGTCCTGTCGGTTGTGTTCGGGAATATTAATTATGACCGTGGGCGCTATGCGACTGCCTGCGAGTTTTCTAGGATGACCCCCAGGGCATAACCGAGCGATCATGCTCCGTAAACTGATCGGTGATAGCCCACAGTCATATTTGATATTCCCGATCACAACCGACAGGACAACGGGTCCGCGGCTCAATGGTAGAGCGTCAAACTCCATGACCAAAGATCCCGGGTTCGAATCTCAAGTGATACACACTTGGGGTTGGGTATGACTGGCTGATGACGGCTAATAAGCCAGAAATGGCCATTCCGGTCTCCCTTGTCTTTGTCGGTATCATCTCATCTATGTCTACTACTAGTCGCTGTGCGACTGCCTGCGAGGGTTCTAGCACGAGCCCCAAGGCACAACGGAACGATCGTGTTCCGTAACCTCATCGGTGAGCGTCCACTGTTATATATATATATATATATATATATATATATATATATATATATATATAGGCAGAATACTATTACCGACAAAGACAAGGGAGACTGGAATGGCCATTTCTGGCTTACTAGCCGTCGTCAGCCAGCCACAACCAAGCCCGAGGTGTGGAACACCCGAGCCTCGAACTCGCGACCTGTTGGTTTAGAAGTCAACGCCCCTATCCACCGGGCCACGAGCCCGTTGCCCTGTCGGTTTGCGATCGGTAATATACAATGTCAGGGGGCGCTCACCGATCATTCATACGGAAATCACTCGTTCCGTTGTGCCTTAAGGGCTCTCTCTCGAGCCCTCTCGTGTTCATGCTCGAGCACATCTTCGGAGATAAGCTAAGTGAGAAATACAGGGTTTAAATAGGCCATCTGCACTCTCACCCGATAGGTTCGTCCCGTTCGCTTCTCGTTGGCCCCCCTCTCGCGCGTAGATGGTGCCTGACGGCCTCGTATGGCGCTGGCAAATCGATACTTCGGTTGATAGAGTTCGTGTCCGATTTCCAGGCCTCGATCACTTCCCTCGCCAGTTTGCTTTCGGCTCGGGCGAGCACCTGGGCGCCGTCAAAATCGAACTTGTGATTGTTTTCCAGGCAGTGCATGGCGACATGCGATAGTACGTCCTTTCGCCTTACGGCCAAAGTGTGCTCATGCATGCGCGTTCTTAGGCGTTTGTCGGTCATGCCACAGTAGTTGGCTGGACAGTCCAGACATTTGACGCGGTAAATGACGCCCGACGTGTCTGCAGGTGGTAGCCGGTCCTTGGGCTGCATGATTAAGCGGCGGATGGTGGCCTCCGGTCGGTGACCAACACCCACGCCTAGCGGCCTTAGCATGCGCTCAGTGGCTTCAGAGACGTTACTCACGTAGGGCAAGACACGGAAGATTTCTGGTCTTTGTTTCTTCTCACCGTCCGTCTTCGTGTACCTTCGGTACAAGCATTTGTTCACAAAACTGCGCGGATATCCATTGGCAAGAAAGATGCGCCATAGGGTTTTACGCTCCCGCAACTTCTCGGCTTCTGTGCTGCAGTGTGTGTAGATGCGGCGAAAAAGGGTCCGGACACAACTGCGTTTATGCGACAGGGGGTGATTGCTGTTGTAATGAAGAATTTTCTCCGTGTCTGTCGCCTTTCGAAAGACACCCGCTTACATGAGCATCAGTTAGCGGTGAGGAGACGAGATCATTTATCCCAGGTGGCTATGCACACACTGGACACTGGACACAAATTTGCATGGGAGAACACCCGCATTGTTGGCGCCTGCCCAATAAGGAAAGGCC